CAAAGGGCCAAGCAACTGCTGCTGATTTTCCAGATTTGTAGAATCAAAGAATGGTTTGGGTCGGAAGGCACCTTAAAGATCATCTCGTTCCAACCTCCTTCCATGGGCAGGGACACCTTCCACTAGACCAGTTTTCTCAGGGACCTATCCAACCTGGTCTTGAAGAATTCCAGGGATGGGACATCCACAACTTCTCTGGGCAACCTATTCCATTGCCTCACTACCCTCTGAGTAAAGAATTTCTTCCTAACATCTAATTTAAATCTCTCCTCTTTTAGTTTAAAATCATTCTCCTTTTCCCTATCACTATCTGCCCATGTGAAAAGTCACTCCCACTTTTTCAAAGCCCTCTTTAATTACTGAGATGCTTTAGCTTTTTTGGTGCCCTCCTCCTGAATACCTCTTCTGGAGCTCTACAGGGCTGTTTGGAGGGGCCCCTCTCTTCTCCCTGTGGGTCTGCAGGTGTCAGTCCCTGGAGAGGATGCTACACATCAACCAGGCTGCAGTTCAGCACGTGACGTGGTTTCCTTCCCAACACCACGTGACATGACATGACATGACATGACATGACATGACATGACATGACATCACATCACATCAATCACTTCACAAGACATCCAGCTCCAGATGACCATTTGCTTTCTCCGAGTCTCCTGGAAGGGCTCTGCTCCTCCCTACCACAGCCCAGTTTCTTTAAACATTCTGCAAGGCTAGGAATTACCCTGCTGTCTGTGTTAAGCCTGGTGCCTCAGAAGATCATAACCCCTCCTTCTGAAGTGCTCTCTGTGCTCTTTGTTGCTTCCTCCAATAAATGGGGGTCGCAGGGAAGAGCTGGTAGGAGGGTGATAGGCAGGTCCTTGGTTGCCAGCCAAGTGGTGAGGCAAAGGGCTGGGGATAGCACAGGCTGTCAGCAAACACACACTCTCTCAGGTAGCATGAGGTGGATGCAGGGGTGTCAGCAAACAGTGACAGGCTGGGGCCTGAGATATCTTATTTATTCCATGTGGGTGGAGCAACATAAAGGCAGGAGGTGAAGGGCAGAGCATATCAGCTCAGTCAGCAGCTCTCAGTGGGTATGTGTGTGTTGTGGTGTGCATGTGCCCAGCAGGAACACAAGGAGTGCATGCATATATTTATGTGGAGCTCTCTCTTCATCTGCAACATGTGTATGGCCTGTCTGCACACATGGCTGGTTGTTCACACTGCTGTTGTGTCTCTCCATCTCTAGGTGAAGGACCTGGTCTGCTGTGGGTTGTGACTTCCAGGTGTGTCCCCATCAGTGTCCCTACAAACTGCTCCTGTGACCCAGAGAGATCTGAGCTACCTGACAGATCCGCACAGCTCCTGGGGAAAGGGTTTCCTCCCCCTGTCTGGGAGACAGCAACTAATTACAAAGCAGGAAATGAGAAAAAAAAAAAATCAATGAGGCACTGGGATTTTCTGAGAGGCACTGAGAATGTGATGGAGGAGATCAGCAGCCCGGGGGTGGGGAGTAGATGGCAACCCTGAGCCCTCAGCTGAGATGGGATAGCTCTTGCTGGAAGGGGGGTCTTAGCAGGGTAAAGGCTCTTTAGGTTAGATTGAGTGAGAGCAGAGGCTAGGGCTTGCAGAAAAAGCCAAATAGGAGAGACTAGTCTGTCTGCTTTGATTGCTGGCAGAGCTGGCCAGGCTGATCAGCAGAGTCTGATCCCCCCCTGCCCTCCATGGTTGCCTGAGAACCACTGCATGCTCCCATGGCAGCACCCCCAGAAGATGCCTGCGAAGCCAGCATCCCCAACCAGCTGTCAGAGGCTGGGAGAGGTGATAGAGAATGGATGGCACCTGCTTCTGCCCCTTCTTTCTGTGATGTGGGGTGCTCTAGTCAGGGTTTCCCTCCTGTCTGAGTCCCAGAGGCACCAAGCACTGAGAGCTGGACAGACTGACCACTTACAGGAGTCCTGACATTGAACTCCCGCCTGTCATGCCCATGAAAAGCAACTGCTGAAAGGGAAATGAGCTTTTAAGGATTATTTCAACTGCAGGAGCCTCTATCATTGCAAGTGCCAGAGCTACCTTGAACTCAGAGCCGTCTGTAGCATGAGCGCAGCCTTTTATCTTAAATCAGCATTTCCCCCCCGCCTTTCAGATCTTTCCAGTTCACTAGTGATGTTCTCCCCAGCCCGTCTGCTGAACAGCGTGATGCAGACAGGAGGATGCTGGCTGAAAGCCCCAGGTCATGGAGAGAGGGAGGGTGGCAGCCTCCCCCCACCGCCGGGGCTGGGACACAGTGTCCGGAGCATCCTTGCGGAGACCAATTCTGGGATCGAAGTGAGGAGGTTTCGTTGTCGCTAGATGGCACCGCACCCCCTTGCAGCAGAAAGTGTGGGTGCTGCAGCGAGCAGGGGAAGGAGCCTCCCCTGCCAAGCAAACCTTGAACCAAACCTGAGTCTCCCTGCATGCAGGATGGGGGACCCCACTGCTTTCTGCCCTCTCCTTCGCCTCCTCTCCTCGCTTTGAAAATTCCCCGTGGGTAGAGGTCGAAATGAACACAGAAGAGAGAGGAGGAGGAGGAGGGGGTTACAGGCGTTTTGGAGGCTGCCTGAATGCTCTGTGGTTTGCAGTCACGTCAGGCTCCTGTTTCATCTTTGCTCTGCACCGAGGTGACATCCCCGTGTGCCCTTCAGCTGAAAGCCCTGAATAATGGAGCTGTGTTAATACACACATGCACAAGCATATGCGTCTGTGCCCGCATGGATGTTCCTCTTCTCTCTTCCTTGACCGCGATTTCCTCTCTCTGTCTGCCAAAATTCATCTGGAAGTTGTTAATTTTTAAACCTAGAGTACTCAGCAGACTCTACCTGCAGTAAATTAGCTGGTGCTTTCTCCTTTTTAATATTAAAGGACTCAAGCTCTCAACCATCTCCCTTTGGGAAAAATGGTGCTTTGATTTGCCATCTTCATTCCTAGGAAGAATTTTGTTCTATCGTGTAAGTATTCCAGTGCTCAGTTTAATCTCATTACTGCAGACTACAGCCACTTGTACCTCTTTAATTAGTGACTTGATGACGTCTTTGGTGGCAGCTTCCTCTGGGTCATCTGATACCATCAGCATGACCAGGGATACAGCCCAGCTGGTTTAGCTGCCCAGGAATGGGCTTTTCTGAGGGGTGTAGGAGCCTCCCCCTTTGAGCAATGCTCAGGTCTCCATCAGTGTCTCAGAGGTGACTGTGCCATGTCTGGAAAGAGGTGCAGCAGCTGCTGCTTTGATTTTGTGTGTAGTTACTCAGCTCTGAACTGTGGCATGGACATGCATTTGCTGATAAGCCCAATGCCAGTCAGCAGAGCTGTCTTGGACACTGCTGAGCTGTTGTCCTCCATACCCTGAGAACCGTGCCCTGCTTTTAACTTACATTATTGTGTGGCTTCAAATCACTAGGCGCTGCTTTCCCCATCCCAGGTCACTGTATTGGCTGGGTGTCCCCTCCTCAGCCCTGGGGAAGGGCTGTGGGGCAGTCCCTGTGGGATGGTGAGGAAGTTCCCATACAAGACCTGCCCTGCTCCCTGCTGAAGGCTCGTGGAGCATTGACGTCTCTCTCGCTCCATGGGAATGATGCAACACAACACAGGTATAGCCTGGGATGTGCCTTGTCCCAGAAGAGATTTGGGACAGCGGGTTCCTGGACTTTTTTAGGAAGCATTACAACTCCTGTCTCTGAGCAAATCCAGCACCTACATCAGTGGTAGCTGTCATATTCCTGTCTCCATGGATGGAATTGCCTCCCAAGAAGGACCTCACACAAAGCCCTCCCAATGAAGCACAACAACATGAAGCCACTGCTATTACAAGGCCTTTGAGTCAGGGGCTGGGGAGTGGTGTAAGGCTCTAAGATAGACCATGATTCATCCTTCACCAGCCAGAGGAAAAGACGTTCCTCGCGCTGTAAAAGGCACACTACAGATAACACTGTGACAGTGTTTAGCTAGATAGAGTGGTGACATCATGTGCTTTGACATTAAAACAAATTCCCAGCAATACTGTGGAAACCTCAGCTCCATCATTTGTGTGCTTGTGTAAGAGACGTCTTTTCCCACGTATTTGGGTAATTAAATACAGTGTCTCAAATCGAGGCAGCGTGTGATTTTTATCCCCTTCTTGTGCCAAAGACAAGAAAGAAATGGGAAGGAAAGAGAACAAATCCTAAATAGATGGTATAAGGGGTCCCTGGATTCCCTATCCAGGCCCAAAGAAGGCAGGATGCCCCAGTGGTCTCTAATCCAGTCATTATGGGATTTTTGGAGAGCTGCCTTTTCTGCCCCAAATCAAACAATAAAGTTTGGCAAAATTCAGCCTTTTCTCACACAAAGCTTGGATCTGTCACTCTTCACAGATGCCTCTTGCCCTGAAATATCCCTGACCTGCTTTAGTCCTGATGATATCATAGCACTAGGGATCCCTTACATGTCCTATCTTAAGCCAAGGATGACTGTGTCTGATACACCACCACTGCCAAATTCAAAGAGGAGCCCAGCCAAAGCTCCTTAGTTAGGTACAAAGGAACCTCTCCCTCTTCCTATCCTCAAGGCTGAGGTGCAGGGAGATATTACTCATCCCAAACTAAACATGGACGTACTTCTGCCTTGGTATTTAATAGCAGCTATTTTTAACTGCTGGGATAACAGCACAGGGAGAGCCAGCATGGCTCTATGGACTCATCACTGGCCCAGATCCCAGCTGTGCTGGGATTTGCCAGCTCTGTGCAGTGGGACCCATCAGGGCTGGAAGGCTTCAGTCACAGGGTCATCTGCTCTCTGTGCTCCCTATCCTTGGCCATATTCCTGCATGGTCAGTCCTGGCAGGATCCACACGATCCCCAGCCAGCATCACCCAGTCAGTGTCTGCTACTGGGTTATGTGGGAAATGCAGCTACGTGTAAGGAACAAGTAGACCCTTCCCAGTTGCAAGTGTAGAGCTGGCAGTGGAGTAGCAGCGATGACCTGTAGCCAAAATAAATCCAACTCACAGCTTGTGCCCGGGGCTGAGTCACCGGCTGTGCCTGGCACCGAGGAGATGATCGTGGGCCTCTCGTGGGACAGCTTCCCTTCCTGCGTGGGAACAACAGCAGGGAAACAGGTAAGTTCCCACAAATAGGGGAGAGGAACTGCATGAAGGCCCAGTGTGGGGAAGGTGACATCATGGGAGGCTTTCCAGAGGCAAAGGTGGCCTTCTTTTCCTGTAAACCTGACCCAGCCTTGGCTTTGCTCTGTTCTCTCCAATACTGTGCTTCACAGCTTTTTGCTCCCCACCTGCCCCATTTCCAGAGCTAACTGGTATTTTCTCTACCCATCTTTGATCTTGAGGCCACCTTTCAGAGTCAGGATTATCCATCCACTTCCTTTACCAGCTCCCACAAAGATTTTAGTGTCTCAAACCCAGCAGTGATTGGAGATGCCCTTTGCTGTATTTGCAGTGAAGGACCAGTCCCTCATGTGGAGTAGCCATCACTGGGCTGGGCTGGCATCACACAGCAGTGGGATGAACATGACCATTTCAGGCAGGATCTCATCCATAATTAGTATGCCAGATGATATCAATTTTATGTTGATATTATCTCTCATGTTTCCTTGATGTGGGTCTCTCTCCAATCTAGGCTGCCCATTCCTACCAATTCCTTGCCTCCAGGAAGAGGATCATCCCAAGGAATAGTTTGTTGAACATATGACCTGTGCCCCCGAGACTATTAAATCACCCAGAGCTGGATGGCATAGACATAAAGTTCCATAGGAAAGCCTATTCCCCAAGCCTAGGGATTGACACCAGTGGATGATGAAGCACCACCATGAAACCCAACCACTTATAATGATGACACCCAAAGGAAATATATTTCCAGGAGCTTTTGAAGAACATCTACTAACCTTTGCAGAAGACTCTTTCCATTTAATGGTGGCAGGACTCCACTGTGCCTTCCTCTGGATGCTCTGGAGAGAGGAAAGGAAGGATGGGTCTTTGTGGGGTTTGGTCTCCATGCTCAGGGGCTGGATGGTTGTCATGGTGCTGGCATCAGGCTCCCTCATCCTCAAAAGGCCTTTGGGAGATGGTGTCTTCAGTGGAGCACAATGTAACCTCCTACAGTGTGGAGTGACTTTGGGAGTGTCAGAGTTGGTCAGGAGTCCTTTGAGATTCCTTGTTGGGGCACCAATGTTAGGGATGGGAACACCCTCCATGGACTTGCTTGAGCACATATTGCTGGGATGACTTGGAGATAAGGCATAGGTTTTCCCCACTGAAAGGACGTTGGCCTGTGGTGGATATCTTCTCTCCATGAGCTAAAAAACCCCAAACAAACCCCAAACCCCATTGAAATAGGTTCTTATATAACTTCAGTAACAAATCATGTGAAATTTTTATTTCCCATTCTTCTACTTCAAGCATCACATCTACTGACCTCCTAACTTTTTGGAATTGAAAGCGTTTCCCATCCCTTTCTGCTTTATGTTCACTGAGTAAATGTCAGGGACACAATCTAAACTCTAGCCCTTTTTTGAAGTGTGGAAGAAGTTTCTGTCTTGCCTATTTCCAGAGTATCCTCCTCATTTGTCCATGATCATGCAGGGAAGCCTTGGAGTAGAAAAAATATGACGAGTGGTTGTCTTCCCTCTTGGATCATTGTTCCATTCCCATCTCCACCCCCCTACTCTATGAAACTGTGTTTTCAGCCAGAAACCTCCCCCCCACCCCCATATCATTTCATAAGAAACCTCAAGTTTCTTCTTAAAAATCTGAACTGAAAATAAAAATTTTCAGATTCTGCTTTTTTTTTTTTTTTTTTTTTTTTTTTTTTTTTTTTTTTTTTTTTTTTTTAAATGAAATGAAATTCAGCTTTTTCTGATCAGTTGAATAAAGTCCAGAGTATCTACCTTCCAGGGAGTTATTTTATCATTTATATTCCAGGGTGTAAGTGGTCCCTTATGACAAAGCAGTACTTAACATGCAAACAAAGAGCTGAAAACTGCACCTTATGCCAATGAGTTTGCAAGCAAAATATGACATAAGGGAGAGTGGTTGGTGGGAGATGCACCTTTGCCATGATGTGAGAATGGTAGTAACAGCTTCTAGTTAGGGGGGAATTTCGTGTAAGATTCTGAAATAGACATCTAAATGTAGCTGTGAGCAAAATCTACCTGTGGACTTGATGTCTAAGTCCCATTACAGTCAAAAGCACCAAGAAAGTGATTTTTGCACCCTGGGGTAGAATGACACAATCACCCACTTTCTTTGGTAGGTGTCATTTGAAACACACAGGGTAACCTCAAAAAACCTCCGGCTGGTGGTGCAGGAGGGCAGAGATGCCTCAGTGTCATCCCTGCCAGCCCAGTGGGTGCCTTAGTGACTTTGTGTACCTTTACCTCAGGCTGGATCCTTCCCTCACTTTCTAACCAGTACTAAATCCTCTGCCAGGTCCTACAACTGCTGATGGTCTCTACCCCTACAATGTACTCACTCCAGAGCAACCTGAATGTTATAAATTTTCCATCCCATCTGTAGCATGGTATATGTGCCAGTCCAACTTTACCTATTAAAAGACAATTGGATCTAACCTGTTCTGGGGTGTCCTCAGAACAGCACTGGATATTGTAAAAAATGTTAGGTTTTGGTTTGTCTCTAATTGCCAAGAACTGGAACATTTTGTCGTTAGGAAAACCTGTCCCCCTTTGGCTCTCACCTTGGGATGTTCTTGCTTAGTCATGTTTCTGTCACAGTCCAGGATGCTTTGGTACCTGCAGGGAAGACAGGAGATGGGACCTTAATACCTTTTTTAGCCTGGATGTGTTTTTTTGTATTGTGGACGGGTTCGTTCTGCCTTCCCCCTACCTTTTGGAAGTCCCCAACCCAACAGACTCCAAAACAAATCTTGGAAAGTGAGAGAGATGTGAGAAACCCCCCAAAGAGGACTGGTTTAAGGTCAGGGCAGTACTGCTAGATCCATGTGAGCCCTCTCCTCCCCAGCTCCATGCAGACGTGTCCCTGGAGCGCTCCATCTCTCCACTGCTGGAGGATGTATTGGGGGGTTATATGGCCTGAAAGAGGTGTATTATTGCACTTTGCTGACCTATAGTTTGGAGCTGAAGTCAGGCTTTCCAGAAGGTCAGTTTATTCAGCTTTAGCCTAATATAAAGTGATTTACCAAGTCAGTACCTGACCTGATACAACACAGGTGATGAGTGAGACCTTTGCAGAAGAAACCACCTTCCTTCCCTTCCTTGCTGAGGGGAGTGCACTCTCAGCTTTCTCCAAAGACTCTGTCAGATAGATGGCTATTTACATTGAAAATTAACCAAGTTTGGGATATTCAGAACTAAACTGTCCCACGGGGAAGTTCAAGAGACAGATTTGACAGCTGCTCTGTCACTCTTATGTTGAGGGAGATGTCCTTTGGGTTCTGTTCCTAATCTTATTTGTCTCACGCTTGGCAGTGTTGTGGTCTGATCTCAGTCATGGGTTGTAACCAGAAGAGAAATTAGCCCTTAAGGTGCCTGGACTGAAATGTGACTCTCCCTGGAGCATTTTGGTTAGAGACAGTTGAGAGAAACCAGGAGGGGATGCAATGCCCATACCTCTCTTGCCTCCTCATCAGCTTATCTCTCCAGCATTTGCTCCTTTCCCATGTGACACCTTGCAGACTATCAAGATTAAAAGCTTAAATTGTCCACCTGGGAATGCTCCAGTCATTGGGGTTGAGGGTAAATTCTTCTGTGTCATTGTCTTTAGTGATCTTTGTCGAGTGTGTCTGGCTTTTAAATCAGGACTTGTCTTCCAAGACATAATAATGCATTGGAAATATATAACAGCTAAGAGCACTTGTGGCAGAAAATACCCACCTCTTCCTTGAGACCTGACAATTTGGGATGCTGTGCTTGGGAAAGACTTTATCTGAGTGACGTTTTTTTGTTATGGAGATGGGAGAGGGAGAGTCCACCCTGGAGCCCCTCAGGTCTGAGTTGAACTGCAGCCACAGATTAACCACCCACCTGGCAACCAGTTCAGAGACGGACACAGCTTTCCTCAGAAGAACTGCTCTGAGCTCTGGATTGCTCCTTGGAGAACAGCACAGAGAAGGAAAGGACTGGGCTGGCCTCAGCTTCTCAGCTTTTTCCATGTTTTCTGTCTGCTGGCACTGAAACAAGAGAGCAAAGGTTATGGTGCTGGATGTGAAGATTCAGGGGAAAGAAGCCAACAGTTAGTGTGTCCATCTCCACTCAGGGGACTGGTGCATCAGTAAAAGGCTCTGGAACAAATGCTGTCTTCACTGATACATCTGCAAACCTCATCACATAAATTCACTTCTGAAAAAATAAAATGGGGTTAAAGAAGACACAAGTTGAATTAAATCCCTCCTAATGCAGGGAATGTTTTTTATCCACTCAGTTCTACCACTTATCCCCTTCTCTTAGATCACCAAGTTCATCTCTGTGACAGTGACAAGGAAAGGATGTGAAGAACAATTAGCTTTAAATAATTTAAAGTTATTTGGTGGCATTTTGTATATTCATCATTAGCTAGAATTTTCTTATGTTTCCAATGTTGCATAGACCTGAACCAGCTCTGGATTCAGGCAGTTACTGGAGATTTAAGCACCCCTTGGCCTCTTCTGCTGAAAATGTTCTCGTTTTCCAGACTTCAAAAATGTGCAGTAGAAGTCTCAGGCATCGTATTTGCAGTGACTGATCTGACACTTGGAAGTACATTGGGTCATCTGGGGTTCATTTTCTGAATTTAGACAGAGCTCTGGGGACCTACAAGTTCTTTGTAATTGCCTTTTAATTACTGACACAGACATTTGAACTGCGAGATTTTTAAATACTTGTATTTACATTTTGAAAGTATTTGTTCTAAAAGCCACGTTGCCTGTAAAATATGTTTCATCAGCAATTTATCTGGCACTGGTCTGAATATTAGTCAGCGTCCAGAGTCGTTGTCCACCCGTGTTTGGGTGTCCACTTCCAGATGTACTGAAGAAGGGCAGATTCTGGGGGGATAGGGGTGTCATTTAGCAGCTTGAGGATCTCTGCCTCCCTTCTCATGCCTTTAAGACATCTGAAAGCAAGTCTAGAGGGAGGGAGATAAATTTCTCACTAGTTGCTTTAAAAAGTTCCTTTTTAAAAATTTTTTTTTTAAATTTATTTTTATTTTCCAGGTCATTTCCCACGATGTTAGAGAAGAGACAGGTTTGTCAGATCACAGGCTCCCACCTCCCACAGTTTGGGGATTGTTTCCTATTTTTGCGGTGGTGTCTAACATTAAACAATTCCAGGTTAAGAGCCCTCGAGGGATTTACTCCGTGGCAAAAGTGAGCCTGTTAGGAGGGAAGTGCTCCCTATCTGCCCTTTTCCTTAAATACAGTACAGGCACTTGATGGAAATACTCTCCTCAGCCCACCCCGAGCAGTTCCCACAACCAACTCAGCATCCCCCAGTTGCTAAGGGTTTACAGGATTTTTCTGATATTAATTCATTCCATCTTCCATGATCTGTGAGGGTTTTTGTGTAAAATCACTTACATGCTACAGCGCTTCCCTCCACCCGAGAGCTGCCATTTGATAGTCTCCTCAGGGCTCTCCAGCACCACTCTCCTGACTCCTTCCTCTCCCCCTCTTTCGCAAGACAGGAGGCAAAGTCCCTTGGCAAAGCTGCAATTAAATATTAAAAGCTGATGTGCAAGTGGGGATGGTGTGAGTTGGAGAGCTGGCACTGAAGAGTGGAGGAGATGAGGCCTCCTCCCTCCTCCTGTCAGCCTGTCACCAATTATTGAGGTCTCATTCTTCCTCATAAAAACACTCGATAAGTTCAAATCCTGCCTGGGGTACCCACAGCCATCAAGACCCAAACCTGGATTCTGATTTAGGTGGGAATCTGCTGGAATCCATGTCCCCACCTTGTCTCAGGAGGAGCAGGAACGAGCTTGTCTGCATGGGGATTTTTAAATGGATGCTTCTGGCCCAGGTCATATATCCATCCTCCAAACCAGAGAGAGCTGTCAGCTCAACTCTTAGTCCCCTGGGCTTGTGGCTTCACCGGGGAGGTTCTGCATGAGCTGCAGGGGAAGGCATCTCTCTGGGATGTTAACAGCTCCAGGGAATAACTGCTCCTCCTGGCAAAAATGAAAGGCAGGCCTGAGTCCAGATGAAATGAATTGAAATACTTAATTACTGGGGGAAGCAGAGGGCAGGCCTCCCTGAGGAGATTTGATTTAGCTGATGTCTAAGCGTGATTAAAGTCAGAGTTTGGCAAAAGTACCCTACTCACCCTCTCAAAAAACATCATGGCCACAAAAAGAGCTGCTTTTCACCTAACAGTAACTGGGTTACTGTGAAATTCCCTCTGGGATTTATTCTACTCATGCTGGAAAGTTGACCAAGCAGCAAAGCCAGTGCACAAATAAGAGCAGATCACTGCATTGGTTTATAATGAACAAGAAAAGCTGTATGGGACATCAAAAGCTGGAAAATAATTTACTCAGAAATGCTTAAGCTAAGCAAGGAACCTTTGAGATGAGAAGCCAGTGAGCCAGGGCAAAGTAGATCTGGATAAACAAATTGAGTGTCTATGCCATTGCTGTGTGAAATAATAGCTTGCACTTCTCCATGTGTTGTGATTCAGCTCTTACTGGAACAAACCTCCTTATTGAGCTTTTATTTCAGCATCTAAAACAACTGAGAAGCACTAATGATTTTAATTCTCTGTCCTGTGGATAGATCCAGCAAGTCTGGTTTCACATGGTGGACTCCTCTCATGCTATCAGTCGTGTTCCTTGCAGCAGTGCCTAAGAACCAGCCTAAAGCTCAGCCCCAGCTTTGTACATGCTCAGATTTGTGACAAGCAGGGGCTCCCTGACCTGATGGATGTCCCCCACTGAGCCAGATCGAGTTCTTGGAGGACTGTGCAGGGTGCCCTGCATGGTAATGGGAAAATACCAGTAGAGTACAGTAGCTGCTGGACTATAAATACACAAACCTGTTAGAGGGTAGAAGGATTTTAATTGCATGGGCAAAACATCTCTGAAGTTGGGATGCATCCTTGTTAGTTATTTATTTTGGAGGAGGAGGATTTGGCTGACAGAATGAAACAATGAACACTGCAGTCCATCCAACAGTAATAGAAGCTGCTAAAAGCCCCGTGAATTATTTTGGGAGCTACTGCTATCCATCTCCGCTCTTCATAAAAAGGCTGCATGAAACAATTCTCTGCATAGCTCTAAGGCAGACTGGTTAGATAAAGTGTGTTTTGAAACTGTTTTTGCCAGGATTACAGGGCCTTAGGCTGATTCCTCAGCTACTGTCTCTGCTGGGGGCCTTGCTCAGCTGACAGTGATTTTAGTCTTTGTTATTAGCGGTGCACTGGGTTTGTTCTGTTGGCAAGAATCTGTGGGAAGATGGGAAGGAATTCTTCATGCCAAACAGTTTCTGTAAGCTGAGAAGAGGTGAGACCCATTCTAGAAAGAGAGAAATGGGTCAGAGCTATGCATACCTGCACACTGCTGAGCTGCCCTGACTGGCCCTCTTAGTCCCTGCTGTCCATGACAAAATCCCCGATGTCTTAATTCCTGCTTCTTCTTTTGTTGTCCTTATTTTCAGGATGCTCCAAGTATTTTCACACTGCTCCAAGTATTTTCACACTGCTCCAAGTATTTTCACTGATTTAGATAGAAAGGTGCCTGAATTTGCCTCCAGGTACCAAGACATGGCAGTGGGGGACTAGTTAGAGGATGGAGAGACTGGATATACCAGTCCCCAGAACACCTTTTCCTCCCATAAGCAAAGAAGGGAAATTACTACTCTTGAAGACTCTTGGAATTTGTGTCTTGCCTTGTGAGAAGCTGGAAGAGATCTTGTGTAGAAACTGAAAACTTTAATGGGACATGATTTTTGAGCTTCGGAAGTTTCCCCAGGTGGAGGAGATGCGGTAAAGAGGTGCTGTGAGGATCATTCAGTGCCCCTGTGGTGCCCAAGTGCTCCTTTCCAGTCACCAGGCCAAGCAACCCTTGCCCTGTTTGGGACATACATTGTCTTTTGTCTGCTCTGCTCCTGTTCTCCAAGAGCAGCAAACAGTTCAGCACTGACTGTGCCTCTGGAAGGGCCTTTCCAAGTGTCCTTAACACTAAATAAAATGTGGTGGCCTGGTATGCCAACAGAAAAAGCATCCAACCCCAAATACCTCCTTTGTTTCCTGCAGAAGGTGGGAACAACCATGTTACTTATGTGTACTTCCATCCTGATGACGCCTCTGTGGGGTCTCATCTTGTGAGAGAAGGTAGCTGAGAGGTTTTAAGAAGCCAGGCTTCTCTCCTTCAGTGAGAAACAGCCAAATCACACTCTTTTCCTTTAAGCAATGAGGATTTCCCTGCAGAAAATGAGAGAAGTAGAAAGTCTTTCAGATGCTTCCACAGGCAACAAATTATGCCCCTGCCATGCTCCTCTATAGGGTCACAACTTTACCTGTAAGAGCCATCCACTCTTCCTTGTCATGTGGTTGCAACTTTTCCAAGGTATGGGCTGGGGTTTTATTCCAGGCACTACAAGGCTTCATCGCCTGCCCAGGACATCTCCTGACCACCACACTAGGAACAATAAGGTCTGCTCTTTGGTTTTCTTTGCTGTGGTCAGACAACCTGTGGGGACACTGAGGGTACTCAGTTCTGGGGCAGAACATCCAGGCTGGAAGCTGTGGTTTGGTGTCTCATTCCCTGTTGAAGTGCTGAGCTCTCCAGCATGGACACCACCAGGGGTGGGAAATGCTGCCTGCATCTTATCTGAGCCAGACAGAGGGAATACCGTCAGGGGACACAAGCAGCTAGCAGGGAACTTTGAACTGGGAGATACTAATGGTTAACACAGACAATAATTTCTAGCTGTGTCAAATGGACTGACCTAAGCCCACATGAGATTTGTGCTGACCAGACAGGGATAGCAGTTTACATAATCACCTCTATTTTTTTTTTCCCTAATTGTATAATGTTGTTTTGATAGCTGTGTTCCCACTAAAAACCTGTGTGTTCCTCTTTCTTTTCCCCCATGTGCCCAGCTTTGCTGCAAGCAGGTTTGTGCCCTGCTTGTCAGATGAGTGTGAGCAGGGATGGTGGGATGAGAGCAAGTATGAGAGGGAATAACTCATTTTGGGTGTGAATACAGATCTGCTATTTGTTATAAACAGATTGATGCATAAATACTTTTCTGCAAAATTCCGTCTGGGATGTGCGCCTCCTCCAGATTTGATCCCCGGTCAGGGAATTTACAGCAAACTAGCCACAAGCAGTGGAGGAAACAACCAGATTTTGCACTCTTTCCAGCACATTCTCCACATTTTTTGGGGGTGAGGAGAGCCGTTTGCCTGTGTGGCCTCAGGGTCGGGTATGTGACTGCATAGCGAGTTTTTAATCCTGCAGCCGAAGGCCCTGTGCAGCTCCAGGGAGCTGGTGCTCCCAGAGCCAATTCCTTTCCTCTGGTCCACTGGGCAGGGCTCTGCACGAGCAGTTTACTAAGGATGGCTGCACTAGGGGAGGAAAAATCCCTGCAAAGCCTCTGGTATTGTTTGCTCTCCGCTCTCTGTCGTTTTCTTGTGGGGAGTATCTGGATCCTCACAGTCATTTCCATAATTATTGGTTTCATGTTACGTAACCAAAAAAAAAAAAAAAATTATCTATCAAATGCACATGTGGAACTAATGGGGCTTATTTGAAAAGACCTGTCTTTGCATTTACAGCTGGCACATCCCTTGGTCCATTTTAATGAGCTTCCACAGCACCAGCACGTGCTGGGGAGGGAGCCCACGTGTGTGCTCACCCCGGCCTGCCCGTACCTCCTGGGGCCACGGGGCTCCAGTTTCACCCCAGTCTCACCCCAGCTTCACCCCAGCATGTTGAAACACAAATCCATGGCAAGCACAGGAAAACTGCTGCAAGGGCCTTCATGGATGTGTGTTCTGTTTGAATACTCCATGATTGCCAAGTCCTTTTTTTCTGATTTTTTTCTTTTTTCATTCAGTGTGGAAAGCTTGGGGGACTGGGTTTTCTTGGGGGGACCTCTTTAGTGGCTAGGTTTTGTGATGGCTGGAAATACCATATTTGGTAATTTTCCCTTCAAGACATCAGATGGCCTCTGGCTTCCTTAAGGGAAGAAAAAGATTGAAAATTTTCAAGTTTTTTGGACTCCATGTTGTCAGGTTCATGTGGAGGTTGAGTTGCAGAGAGGGCCAGCGATGTAGGGTTCAGGTTATGGGGATATCTGAGGCCAACTCCAGCTCCTGCTTGGCCTCAGCGAATGCAATGCAGCAAATCTTAGACTTCAGTGGAGTCATGATGTGGCCCTCAGGACATCAATGTTACCACCAAGTTCACCCACCAACACAGGGTGTGTGAAGACAAAGTTCCCTCTGGGCTGTAGGAAAATGAGACACTGGCTCCTGTCAATGCTCACATCCTCTTGTGGTGCATCTTAATTACGGAGGTGTGAGCTCCCCCTGTTAGAACCTGACTCATCTCCCCAAAATGCTGCTGCTTAAAACCTGCTTTGGTCTGTTCCCGGGGGGATTCTGTGCCTACCCCCATGGCTGTATAAATCCATGGGGATCCTGAGCTGAATCCAC